TGACACCATTTTTTAAGCTCTAGCGTCATTATGTGCCAAGTTATTGGCAAAAAGGTCATTTGACCTCAGTTGACCTTATTTGACCTGACCCAAGGATAAGTACACCAAACAAAGAAGCACCAAGTGACCTGCTGTTAATTACTATGGTTTCAAAGCACAAAAGTGATGGAACAAAGCGGATATCACCAGTATTTTCCGAATTTAGTATTTTCCCACAGGCTTAACATTACGACGTAATGACCTCTAACTGACCTCAGGTCAGTGACATGAAAAAACGAACTATATGTTATACAACTCGGTGAACTTAGCACATCCTGAAAGTTTGAAGGAAATCAGTCCAAAACTGTGAGTTTTAGGGGAAGCCGGGGGAAGCCCGGCATAGTAAGCTCTTTTTCATTTTTATTACATACCATACGTGCTGTATAAAATGTTGATATCCTGCTAGCTAGCTAAGTTCATTGGCCGTGTTTTCCCAAAAATTCGGTTTCGTGGAATAAGTTTAAGGTTGAGAAAATCGAGTTTTAAAAAAGTGTTGATTTTTCTGGGGTAAGCCCGGCATAGGGGTAACGCCGGCCACCTCCCCAGCGCTTTACAACGAGTTGATGAAACCATTATGTGTTTTCCAAATATTAACGGAAAGTGAAATATTAAGGTACTGATTAGCTCTGGACATCTTAGAGTTTATGTCACTACTGGTATTTTAGCTAGCGTCTACTACATATACAGTACAGGTCGATGAAAATCGTGATGCAAAATTGACAAAAAGTGTGTATTTCAAAATTCCTTAAAATTTATTTTTCTTTTTACCTTAATGCATCATATTGCATATCATTCGACTCGGCTGATGAAGAAGAACACAACGACACCATTTTTGAAGCTCTAGCTTCATTGTCTGTCGCGTTGTCTGCAAAAACGTAGTTTGACCCTAGTTGACCTTAAGTGACATGACTGACTGGCTTTGTCTATGATAACATGTTTATTTTCGAAATTTATCTTTGATCTAGGTGTAAACCAAACCTGCTCAGTACCTATTATCTCATGGAAAACAGTGGTTTAGTGGCATTGCTCTCGGTTGGGGGTAAGCTTGGCCACTCGCCCGGGGTTACCCCAATGTGCTAATTTTTATTTTAGAACAGCGATATTCGAAAAAATGTCATACTTAAGCCAGCCTGCCTCGTCACCCCTCACTACAAACACTTAAACGGTCCTTACATAACATTCGTATAAATATTAGTACTGTATGGTATAACATTAACAGTGCAACATATCTCACTTTTTAGCTAAAAACCCTTAAAATATCATTTTTGCGCTATAACTTTAGCAATATGCATTTTTTGTCAGCCTTAACTTTTTTGCTGGCGTTACCCTAGCTGCCACGCTGAAAGGACAAACAGTTGAGCATTTTATTGTGAATAATTCAGCCGGAAACGGGGTGGCCGGGCTTCCCCCGCGCCCGGGCTTCCCCCGGCATCCCCTACAGGTGCAAAAAGAAAATTGAAAATTGACAATGACCTTGTACCGGTTTTTCTGACCTGGTGACCTGACCCAAGGTCACCCGGACTTGAAATTTTCAGGTCATATGTAAAAAGGTTGCCCCATAGGCTGTGCCAAATTTGGCGGCGCTGCCCGCCGCCGTTTTTACGCTATCTTCGAAAACCCTTAGGGGGGGGGGGGTTTGCATCAACCCCCCTGCCGGGGCGAGGGTTACCTAAGGCCCGCGAGGTCAGTGCAGTTCATCAGTCACACATACGCATATATCACACTCGCATATTTCTGTAGTTCTTGTCAGCTAGGGGAATGTACCTGTATATCAGAGCGCCAGTTCGGGAAAGGGGATGAAAGTTTTTGGATGAAAATGATCAGCCATGCTCTGCGGCACAGTATATCTCCAGTCAGTAGTCACACAGTCAGTAGTCACAAATCACTAGTGCCATCTAGAGGGAGAAATATTAGCATTACGGGCGCTGCGGCGCAGGATATCTTCAGGCGCGCATCACTAGTGCCATCTAGAGGGAGAAATATCAGCACACGGGAGCTGCGAAACATGTACACTGCATAAGTATGCATGTACAGTCGGTGGCAGTTGTTATCCAGCACGTTTTCTTTTTCGCATTGTTTTCAGATCGCCCATAGGCCGGGCCTGCGTTATTTGAAAATAATACGTAAAAGGTATTGGATCGAAACTGCGTCCGACTGTATTCAGCGAAGTCTTACAATATAACCGCACGCAGTATACCTATGTACTTACAGTATACCTACTGCCATTTCAACTGTCTCCAATATTGAAGACCCCGACTCAATTTAGCACATACTTATTGGATGTTCAGAAAAGTGTGCTTAAAAAGGTCCAACGAAATTCCATGACACCAAGTGCTTCAGCACAGGCATGTCATCTCTATGTATATACAGGGTGTTTCACAATAAATGTTACTTTTGAATAGCTTAAATGAAGATCTTACTTGATCGTAAGCGCGTAAATTTTATATGCATTTTGCTGCAAATTTGTAGCGGTTTTTAGTCCTTACATTTTTTTTACAAACCGTCAACGGTTCCATCAGTATGGACGTGCAATGCCAACACCGTCAAAACGGGTCAATTCGCCGTGTACAGATGATGAGGCGGTATGGGTGGTCATGCATTACGGCGCTTTGCGGAGTCTGACCGCAGTGCGACGGAGTTTCGGTAGCCATTTAAAAGGAGGAAGGATATTCAAAAATGTCTTTCAAACGGGTAGTAGAAAGGTTCCAGAAGACTGGAAACACGAGACCAGCCCCGACTCCTGGCCGGACGGCGATCCCAGAGAATCTGGTTGAAAAAGTCAGACGGAAGGGTGGCATAGTGGAGAACCCGTGAAGGGTGCTGAACTGAAAGTTATATGTTCATCATTCCTACTGTTCTGCTGTCTCGTGTGGTACTACTCATGAGCCATATTGTAATACATGTCACTGAAACATCGTCGTTTGAAAAGCAACATTCATTGTGAAGGACCCTGAAGCTTAACAGCGAATTGACATGTTTTGATGGTGTGGACATTGCACGTACATAAAGAATGCAGTTGATGATTCGTCATAGTTTTTGTAAGGATAAAAAACCGAAAGAATTTGCAACAAAATGAATATGGAAGTTATGGGCATACGAATAGCTGAGGTCATTTTTTAAAAGCTTATCAAAAGTAACGTTTATTGTGAAACACCCTGTATATCTCTATGAGTGCGCCAACCAGTTTTCTCAGTAATTCAGCTAGCAATTCTCGTGCTGTGTTCAAAAAGACGTTAACAGTGAGGGGCAAACTAAAAAAAAAAACGAACTATAGTATGATTTTCGTGCCCACGGTTTACGCAGATTTTCGCAATAAACACCTCAGCTCAACGATGACCTTATCTGCCGGGTCTATAGTATGACCTTGGTGATTACACAATACACATCCGTCTTGAAAAGAACAAAGTGCAAAGCGCACCCATTGCCCCGCACTCTGCAGCAATCAGGAAGGATCAAATGCAGCGGTCCGTAGGGAAATTCTGTCCCATAAACCACTAAACGCGCCAGCACCTTGACGTCATCAATTTCAACGCAGGCTCAAGATAGCATTACTGCATCACTTACGTAAGTAAAATGCTTAAAATCCAACACTGTGTCATTAACTTTATTGAAAGCGCGACAAAAGCTTCTGGCAAGTCAGCAGAAGATAATGCATCGCAAGGAATTGAACAATGCTGATGAAATGCATCATGTTCGAAGGATTTCGAACTTGGTGGAAGGGTTTCTTTGTGATATTTACTTATCAGTGATTTCTACTATCAACTTGGCATGTTTTTCGATGTCTCTTTTTAAGCAAAATTGCGTTGTGGTTAAATGGCTCGAACAACCATACTTAGGCTTACAAAGTATCGAGATATAAAAGGAGGTTTACGAGACAAACACCTCGACGGGTTTCCTATTTGATTGTTTTCAACTATGTAAGCGTTATATTTTATTACAGAGTGGCTTAACTGCCATTTCAATGACTTGTATGTTGAAATCTATGCCCCTATCAATTCTACTCTTTCTCTCTCTCTCTCTCTCTCTCTCTCTCTCTCTCTCTCTCTCTCTCTCTCTCTCTCTCTCTCTCTCTCTCTCTCTCTCTCTTTCTTTCTCTCTCTTTTTTTCTCTCTCTCTCTCTCTCCCTCTCTCTCTCTCTCTCGCTCGCTCCTCGCGCGCGCCGCAGGTTGCGTGCATTTTTAGATACTGGTATCAGTGGCAGATTACCTGCGTATCGCTCTGCTTCTCACGGAACTGGTATGCCCGCCGTTTTATCTCAGTATAACTGCCAGCTGAGGCTATCAAAACACATTTAGACTGTCGTCAGAAAATCCACCTGATACGAGAAAAACACTAAACGCTAAATAATGAATTTAAGATGAAGAATCAATGCCATAAAAGACGCGGCCATCGGTTAATCCTATTCGTACTTTATCATTAATTCGTTGTGTCTGCTACTACCAGAAGTTTGGTAGGTATAACTACGCCTGACACGTCTACAAAAATACGAAACTTGGTGATAGCAAAATACAGAAAAGCTTCAAAAAGCGCCTAAGCCATTTCATGAAAAATTCGACGCGGCTCAAAGCTACATACATCTTTCCCCGGGACATCCCTGTGCAGATCATGCAAAGGTCTCGTGTCCTGCTGATACGCCGCCATAAACTCCCCTGTGTGGGGTCCGAGCAGAAGGCGCCGGCCGGGTGGTGCCACGGGTTTCCCGCTGCGATCCGGACGCGTTCCTCCGCGGCCCCCGCGGCAACTCCACTCACATTGGTCATCAAACGCGTCCGAAACCCCAGCCGCCCTGAAGCAATGACCGTAAAACAATAAATCACGACCCAGACCGTTGATATCCGAGTGCGAGCGTGCGTCCGCCAGCTCGTCGCGGAGTTATAAACGGATAAGATTCGCGTTGGCACTGCGCTGGTCGGCCTCAGCGCGCCGCCGAGGTCAGTGTCACATGGCGCGGCAGTCGGTGAAGCTGCCTTTGACAGCGCCTTCAGAGCAGAGACTTTGGTGGTAGAGGCTGTGTCAGTTGGAAGTAAAGTCAACCATCAGCGACGAGGAAATTTCAGCGAGCAGCAGCGGTCACGGCACTGACGGAGGAAGGCGGCGGCAGAAAGCTGGCAGTGCCCGGTCCCCCGGCGCCATGTCCTTCAGGCAGCGGCCGCAGCTGACGGCAGAGGAGCTCCTGCAGCTCCACTCGGAGCCCGGTCTCGGGCTGCACAACCCGGCCTTCGCCCTGGAGGAGAGGCCGCGGCAGGCGTCCGACGTCCTGAGTGACTCTTCGGATGATGAGCAGGACGGTATCACCTTCTCAGCGGGACCGCGCGCGGCCAAAGGGCCCGCTTCCCACACGTCAGTGGAAGTCGAGACGAGTCTGTCGACTCCCGCCGACGTATCAGCCCGTTCTGAGACGGACCGCAGCCCGACGCAGCCGAGAACGTCGCCTCTCGCGCAGCAGCGGAATCTGTCATCTCGCGGCCCTGGCTCCGTCTCTCCGCTCGCCGTCCACAATGTCTCTGCCGGCCGACCAGACTTCCAACCGTCTGCAACGCCATCTCCTGACCTGCGCGGCGCCACTACAGCGACCTCCTTCACCCCCGCCGAAGACGACGCTTCCGTCGACGCCATCACTCCACATCCTGATGAGCACCACGAGGAGGCCTTCGACCTCGTCCCATCGGTCGACTTCGGCGGCCTGGCGCAGCGCCGTCGCCGCCAGGTCTCAGAGTCCTCTCACGGCTCAGTTCGCTCCGTTCCTCGCACCCTGAACGTGCAGATGCCCGGGTCGCCGGCGCCGACACCTCCCCGGCCGCGACCGTTCCGTCGGTCGGAGACTGTGGCGGCCCTGGGCGTGTCTCCGGCGCTACAGAGGAGACCACTGCGGCTCTCTGATAACCTGCTGGCTTCCATTGCGTCCCAGACAGCCGCCGGAGGGGGCCGGATGGTGCGCCAGCTCAGTGAGACGGGCAGCGCAGGACAGGTGGGTGGTTACTGGCCAAGGTGTTACCGTGTTTACAGGTATGTGGGGTAGATGATTAGCTACCATACCGCCGTATAAATATATTTTATGAGTAGCTACCATGTAGGTATGAAGACAGATGATAGCTATCGTCCAGGTGTGGAGACAGACGTGCGAGCAAAAAGAATGATCACCTGGGTGGATGAGTTAGGATGATAAGACCAGATACAAGGTTACAGGTAACTGTTCTCATTACGTCAGGGAAATATTTTACGATGTCTTTTTTATACAATAGCCAGTTTTTATTCATAATCTGGGGATTGAGTTAGCATTGCATTGTGTGGAGAGAGAGAGAGAGAGAGAGAGGAGAGAGAGAGAGAGAGAGAGAGAGAGAGAGAGAGAGAGAGAGAGAGAGAGAGAGAGAGAGAGAGAGAGAGAGAGAGACAGAGAGACAGAGAGACAGAGAGAGAGAGAGAGAGAGAGAGAGAGAGAGAGAGACAGACAGACAGACAGACAGACAGACAGACAGACAGACAGACAGACAGACAGACAGACAGACAGACAGACAGACAGACAGACAGACTGACAGACAGACAGACAGACAGACAGACAGAGACAAAGACAGAGACAGAGACAGAGACAGAGACAAAGACAGAGACAGAGAGTGAGAGAGACAGAGAGTGCTTTGCATAGCCGGATAGAGGTTTCTATGTAGACGTATCGGTTCTATCGTCATACCAATGACGCCCAATAATCCTGGCATCCGCCTTATACCGAACATAAGAGACGTGGTCCCATTTTCCCTTGATCACATCGTATAGTGGGATAGAGTGGCAATATTGTCCTCATGCATTCTCTGGTCATGAGCATCATTTCCGAAACCGCTGGACGGCCTCAATACAAGTCTCCGAGTCTTCCCAATCACAGAACGATAGCCACAAAACTAGAGAACACGGATCTGTAGCCAAAAATAAACCACGGGGAACTGCATTGTTGGAAAGCCGATAGTTATTGCATTCATAAAACAAAAGTATTGATTTACACGGGGTGCTATCTTGCCAAAATCCAACTTGCTTGATTGCTAGCTTGTACGACTGTGCGACTGTACGACGCACATACTCGTACTGAACTCAATATCTGCGTTTGTCAACTGGTTTGTGATTTTCTGCAGCATGCGCTTCGAATGCGTATGCCATCGGGTTTTAGGGAAAGGAGTACAGTTTTTATTGATTTATAGGAGCGCAAAAAACGTCTACTATGAGTCTTTTCCTCCTCCCCAGGCTTCCGAGCCGCGGTCACCAGTGCGTCAGCTGCGGCGGACGAACACCGCCATGTCGCTGCTGTCACAGTCCAGGGACACCCCGCCGACCCCGCGGCGACCCCTGCGGCACACAGAGAACATCTATACCATGCAGGCCCAGTTCAGCACCCCTCCGGCGACCCCCGGCCCTCAGCGCCGGCCGCAGAGGCACACCGAAAACCTACACACCCTCAGAGGAAAGGTGGGCGGCGGCTCTACATCAGGAGGGGACAGCACGCCCCGACTGCCCGGCTTCCGACTCATCAGTGCCTCGTCCAACGACCTGAAGGTAGGTCCATCTGAGGTCGGAGAGCGATGTGATTACAATTAGGTCAATCAATCTACAGTATCATCGTGCATCCTCTAAAGATCGTGCTGCCCCGTACCCACGTCACTGGTGTAAGGTGTTCATTTATCGATTAACGTGCTGGTTACGCTAATTACCACATAGTCCCGTGATTATGTACATTTTTTTGATAAACAGACGGTCAACCCAGCTGCAGGCGAAAGTAGCGTGTGCAACGAAAGAACAACAACAACAAGTAGTATCGGTGAACAAACTAAGGCAATAGGAAAAGATCGGTAACTAACTAAATTGTAGGAATGATGATGCTTTTGTGGTATGATGGTAGTCTTCGCAGAAATAAACTTAAGACTTATACGTCATAAAACTGCCATAACTCTTTTCACCATAATCCACAATGATATGCGGTATGTATGTACTGCCAAGGTAATTCTCAAGGTATTCGCACTGCAGCTCCGGCAGAGCGAGCTTCCCAGTCCTCGAATAGACGTCTACCTGTAAAACGAGTATCTGCGGATTTGGCACGAAGTTTATGACTGCAATGAGATCTGGCGTGGGATTACAGGATCAGAACATAATCGCCAGCTAAACGACGGCCATTTCTCCGCTGATCTATGCATACAAAGACGGCTGATTCTCTAATATACCGGGTGGCCCAGAAAAAACGTTCCCAATTTTAAATGAACATTTCTCAGAAAGTGATAAAGATACAACATTGAAACTTCCAATAGTCAATGCGACATATATTTTCAGTGAATGGTATGATTTTCATGTTATTCGGTCAATTACTTTTTAAACGGTTCTTGTTTCTAGCATGCCATGTAAAAATCACTTTTTTGCTCTGATGTTTACCAAAAATGTGAGTGAACGGGCCACTTCCATCTCGGCACCACGGCCTACAGCCATGACTGCTACTGGCAACTAGTCTCATTGGTGGTTAAGGCCTCAGGGTGACACATTCCCTCTAGCTTTTTTCCTTATTCGGTCGATTTACTATTTGATCTTCTTGAAGGGAGGGCGATCAGCAGTAACCCATGCACCGTGCCACTCGGCTTCGCCTCGAAACAGGACTTGTGTTGATTGTTGAAACGAATGGCATCCATTAACACGACTTTGGCTTAGTATTTGAATATTTGGCACATAAGTGTGACAAAAATATCTAAAATAGCAACACGCGCGCTGGTATCATTCACGTTGTTCTATTTTTTGTATTTTTCTAACATGGTACGTCTAAGCCAATCATTACTTCCGTTCAACAACGGCAAAAAAAGCAAAAACGTCTTACTTAATTCAACATAAGATTGGTGGCTTGAAAATGATGGTACAGTGTTATAATTTGGCATACCAATGCGCAAAGAAGTGACGCAAACCTGATGAAATTTTGGCTCGTTATGTGCACTCGAATTTGAGATATAGGCCTCCAAAGTTCGGAACGTTTTTTTTGGGCCACCCGGTATATGTCATCCAAAATTGCATCATGATGTTTGCAGTGAAGAACATATTGACCGAGAACATTTTGCACTTGTGTCTAGTGTCACGACTAAGACGTCCACATCCGATTTTAAAAACTCAAGTTACTTTTACAGCTTTGGTTTAAACAAACTAACACTATTGACTGTTTTCTTCTTGGACTAGGAATCTTTTGATTAGCGGATATCTATCATCTCCTCTCTCTCTCTCCTCTCTCTCTCTCTCTCTCCTCTCTCTCTCTCTCATCTCTCTCTCTCTCTCTCTCTCTCTCTCTCTCTCTCTCTCTCTCTCTCTCTCTCTCTCTCTCTCTCTCTCTCTCTCTCCTCTCTCA